CCCGTGGTGCATTGAACGAGAATTAGAATATCACGCTAATTAAGCAAATCAGAATCAGATAAATTTACCACATCAAAAAAAGAAATATAAATGTTAAGAATTTTTGAGAAATTTGTGGATTTTGTTAGAACTTGAAATATTATACTTTTTTTTTGCATATTAAGAATAATTACGCTCATCGCAGAAGATAATAATGGTAGTCACAGAGACAAAACCTTTGTTGATTATTACACACTTACTAATACAAGTTTGTACCCACCACAATTAAGTGGTAATTAAGTGGAAGATAGAGGTTACTGAATGTATTTACGTTGTGGTAATGTTATATCTCAATAATTTAATGTATTAACCTGCGTAACTTTAGTGTCATTCGATAACACTAGGTGATGAAATCTTAATAGTGGTGGTATAATTGCAATATTTGATCTGTACCTGGAATTATCATAAAAAATATGACGAATGCATCTAAATTTGTAACATTATTTATTACACATTTCCATTACTGGTGGGCACTGGTCGGGTTTGTGATTCTTTGATTATCGCTTTTAGACATTAGGGCCAGAAACTTTGTTTGTAGCTAACCACAAAGCTACACAAAGGTCTATATGTGCTCTACCCACCACGGCTATCGAAACCCGATTTCTAGCGTTGTAAGTCCGCAGACATACCGCTGTGCCACTAAAGGGCGGACCAGAAATAAATGAATTATTGATTCTATATTTGACACATAACATACAAACCTTTGGAAAGAAGACATATTTAGCTTAAACACCAAGTTTAAGAACTTAGTCTGATTAGTTTTAAAAGAGTAACAGTGTCAAACGCAAATAAAGTATAATCTTAAAATAAGGGTTAATGAAGTAATTTAGGTTTTATAAATAGACTAACAAAAAACTCAGGCACGCTTCATTGCTCTATCGGGATAATTTGTAAATGTTAATTATTCCCATCACAACTTTTCAATCTGCACAGTTCAATGCCACAAGTTCACGAGACCCTTTTTCCCCCAGCTTATTGCTACATTTTGTAGCATTCCAGCTATTTTGTAGTTATGGAAAAGCTACTAAGACTATCTGTTGTCATCCCTAATTTTGACCAGAAGGAAGGTAGCCAGTCAGCAGCATCCTACCACCCACCATTCACGTTAATGGATTAACTGTCGCTCTTATAACGCACTCACAGCTTAAGGTTGAGGGATGGATGTGGATATTTTGAGGTATCGCACGGATTCGCACTCGACTCGTCATTTTCGAAATCCAGAGCGTTGCCACAGGTTAACCCGCGCTCCCACTCTAACTATAACATGGGTTTAATCTTATTAACTAATGCTGTACAAAGTGTTTTAGTTAATAACGTTAAAAGGTTCATGAAACAGTTAACATGTTTCGTCCTCGACCAGTAACACTATAATGCAACTTATTTGATTACGCTTGTTACTAAAGAGGAGATAGCTGTGTTTATGTTTGTCGTCACAATACTGTGTTTCTTCAATTACAGGAATCAACAAGAAACAATAATCATATTATCTTGAACTACCTGCGATGTTTTAATTAAAATTCGATCATTAAATACTTGAAAATCAGTTAATAGTTAACCCTAAAATTACCGACTTGTTTATGTACAATTCCTTACCTGTATGGTCCAAATATTACATCAGTTTGAGTAATTTTATGTTTTTACCTATCAGAACACTTAATGTAAAGAACTAGTGGGATTAATTACAACATTAATGATATTCTTGTTTTAATTTCGTGTCTGAGTTGTATGTTAAAAAAGCACGCCTGGTAACTAATAAGATCATATACTCACAAACAACTCGATGCATTAATAGTTTAGAAAAGTTTCTTTAAAAAGCCGATGACAAATGGGATATATAATAACGAATAAGGGTCGTGGTCTTCTACAGTACATGATTGACAGGGTTAATTTAAAAAAGTGATGTTTAATTTAAACCCACACTTACAAAACCTACCGCCTTCCCATTTGTCTCAGGAAAGCAACACTCCTATAAAAACTATGTCTAGAAAGCAAAGCTCGTATATAAGCGTACAATTTGAGTCCATAGATTTTAAATGCTAAGGACATTCGTTTTTCCATTTATAAAACTCAAAAATATATATTAATCACAAACAAATACACGTAAACAGCTTATATTTGTGACTAACTTAAATTTACAAAGGATACATTAGGTTGTAGTCAAATAATATACAACCACGATCGGATGTAAATATACTTTAGTAGACATTTTATACAAAAACATATTAAAAGCTTATCAAAGTTTTCAAAAAGGTCTAACGTTAGGTCGTAGGCTACTATTATACGTTTGTTTAGTGATACTGTTAAGTAAGTTTAGCCGTAACTAAACTAAAGCAAAAAACGTACACAAGTTACAGTGTTAATTTATTTCTTTATCAAATTTGTTTTGTTTCTAGATAACTACAAAGCTACACAATAGGTATCGAAACGCGGTTTCTAGCGTTGTAAGTTCTTTATCAAATGTAGTCTGTACTTAATAAAGGTTTAACTAATGTTAGGCCTAAGACAATTGGTCTTATAGGCTTCAGTGTCTGCAATTAGAATTATTTTGTATTTAAAGAAGTTTTGTTGCAATAAAGATACTAATTTGACCGCAAACGTTTTGCGGGTCTTTGCTAGTGTAAAAAATAATAGTAACGACGAAACTTAGAGTACAGCTAATTAAATAATTTAAACTAATATTTTATCATTAGGTATAAAATGTTATGAAATTCTATACTGTTACTTGGAAACATTATGCAAAGCTTAGTGGTCGGTGTGCCTCATACAGAAAATGTTACATTTAAAAATATCAAGCATTTATCGTTATTAATGTCGATGTGTTTGTCATACAATGAATGTCTTTTGTATTCTGTAATAACACCGTAGACCCTTCAAGATTACAGCCGTGTTCGTTTGTTGTTTTTTCTAGTAGTATATATTTTACTGAAATATTACATAACAAGATAGAAGGACCTCAATACTTAATAATATGAGTGCACCTTAAGACAACAGGAAAAACTCGCTAAGCAATCGAGATTATACATATTCCTTGTTAGATAAGGAGAAACCATGCAGACCACCATGGTACTCTCCCTCAAAGGTTGAGCTATCTTAATTTATGACACCACGAGATCTGTGTTTATTAAAAGAGAACGATACTGACAGACAATGACCTTATCTTCTTAAAATACGTTTAATTAGATGAAATAAACAAGTTCTGGTGCCTGGGGTGTGTTAAGTAGACAAACAGAAAAACACAGAGGACTAGTTTCAAAGGAAATATTCTCGTTCAAGTACCTGAAAAACGATTTTAAAAGTCATTGATGTACAAAAGCGTTTTGTTTTTATTTTTTGATTACTGTTCCTGAATTGAAAAATCTTTGAGAGGTACTATAGTAATAAGTACTATAGTAATATATGAGGATTAGAAAGATATCTTTAGTAGTGTTCTTCGTCATGGTATTAAACGCTTGGTTCATGATAATCTCTATATTCTTCTGTAACTTGACAGACATCTATCATACGCTTTATATCTATCTGCATAAAACGAATATATATTTTTCATAAACATCCACCTTCAAATTTTGATGTTTGAATTGTAGTTAATCTAAACGTGGGGTGAAATAGAATGTAGCAAGAAAAGATCTCACGAGCAAATAAGCCATAATACAGTGCTAGTATTGTGAACATTGATCAATCTGTGTTTTTAATTAAATTTTATTTGTTTTTGAGCAAAGACTTAATTAAATCTACCAAATCTACAGAGCTTTAATTCTTAGAAAGCAACTCAATAAACTTTTACATAAGCACTATAACCAGATTCAGCCGAGAATTCTTTAAGTCAACATATCAGATAAAACTTTTTTTTTTCATTCGAAGGATCGCATACTGACAACACTATGCACACCTGTAATAGTTGCAAAGCTACCTACACTAGCAAAACCAAACGCTATTTAACTGTACGTATCACTTGACACGTGAGTATTTACAGAACTGGTCATTTTACTACTATCTTCCTGTATTTCTGCTCTCCATACACAGAGTTTAACTACTGGACACAACCTCATAAACGAACCTAAGTGTTGTAGCTACGTGACGCACGACTATGGAACTTTGGATTTAAAAAAAAATCTTATTAAACAACATCTCTCTACCTTAAATATTAACTCGACTCCCGTTGAGTTTAGCTTGTTTTCGTCCTTTCTCATTAGCTGCACATTTACTTATTTTTTATTGTGGTTTTATATCCTAGTTAGTTACTGTGAGTCTTCAACATTCCCTTTACAATTTTTTTTTTTTTTTCAGAACAAAGCCACAATTGGCTATCTGCTGTGTCCACCGGGGGACCGTTACAAATTCTTATTGTTGTACAGAAATACGTTATTCAACATTCACCTTGTTATTTGTAATTAAAACGAAACGTTTAATAAATATAAATAAATATTATTATTTACTTTTATAGCTATATTGTACATCATTAAACACATATATTAGATTAGTATTCCACCGCAACTGGCTACCTTTATTTGCTTTCATTTAGAGTCTGTATAATTTCTTTTCTATTGTATTGGACATACATGTAAGAATAAAACGTAATATACATCTGATTTACATGTGATATATATAACATTCAAGTTCTGAGTAGATTTAGCATGTCCTAGCTGCACATGATCATAGCCACTAGGTAACAAACTTACCCCATAAATCATTTTCTTTCTCCATCTAGAGAGTATTGTTGTTTACTTGCTCTGGCTCAAACAATACACCGTCGTTACTGGTCTCGAAGAATTAATACAGTTTTATCAGCACAATGACTCATTAGAAGTAGACTCGAAACTTTGTTTTCCACACAAACTAGTTCTGTGCTTTAGAAATACGGTTTATTTTAACTAGAAACCGTTGTAGATATGAATAAAAAAAAATCATAAAGTTGAACATGCATGTATTATTGAGTTACAAAACGATATAAAGATGAACATTACCGCAGCACAACTACAAGGACACCAAGTAAATGCTGAGACTACGGACCACCAAGCAGCGCGAGGACCAAACATGATAAGCCTGTTTTACCGTTGAAACACTTGTGGAACCACGTGACCAGCGACCACAAAGAAATCAGCCAAGACCGGAAGATGGTTAAAATCTTAGCGCTTAAAGAGCATAGTTCCGTTCCTATAGCACGGGGATTACAACGGACACTACTATCAGGGCGTCTGGGAAAATAAAACAAAAACACTGAATGGCGTATACGATTGGCTGTGAAAGAAAACTGCTCTCACCTGGTATTCGTTCTTAACTAAAAGTTATATTTGTCTGTTTCTACCAGAATAGATTACCTATTATGCAAAGATCAATGACCAAGAACAACTGAGTAAAAAGTGATTATGATTATTTTAATTTGTATTAAATTATTTATGTCATTCATAATACACACAGAAGAGGAAATATAAAATTTAACTTACAAGGACTGGGCGCTTAGAGACTCTGACTGTTTTTGTTTTATCTTTAAATTATGTTAACATTTAATAAAGTTTGGAGACGGTTTGATTGAATAGCGAAGAAATAATTATCAGATGTTTAGCCAAGTGCCAAATGTACAACGTTTTGATAATTTTTTGGCATTATCAGCTTGATTATGGAATGATGATTCTACAATTTAGTATATATATATTATAATAATAATAATAAAAGGGCGTGTCTACGGGTCTGTGTGTCTGTGACCGCTCTAACTCCAAGAGGAAAGAACCTAGAAACCTGAAATTTTGCACACATACTAAGGGAACCTTGAGGGTGTGCACCTGAGTATTATTACTTATCCATACGCGTGCGCATCTTTTTGTGAGGTAAGCAAGCGAAAAACCATATAGAAAATAATATGTGGTCGCCATAGCAAAGAATCTAGAAACCTGAAGTTTTGTACCCATATTAAGTGGACCCTGAGAGTCTACACCTGGAAATTATTACTTATCTACGTGCGTATATGCATGCGCGTGCGCATCTTTTTATGCGAAAAACTACAGAGAAAAGAAATGTGACCACAACAGCTCTAAAAGGAAAGAACCTAGAAACCTGTAATTTTGCACCCACACTAAGTGGACACTGAAGGTGTGCACCTGGGTATTATTATTATTTATCTAAGTACGTTCGCGCATGCGCGTGTGCATCTTTTTAATGAGGTAAGCTAGCGAAACAACCACATAAAAAAGAAGTGTTTCCTTATATTAGATGCCATTATACGTCACGTTATCTAACCTACATAAAAGCACGTGCGTTACGTCACGTCACGCTTGATTTCAAACTTAAATCGTTTCTGAATTAAGATATTTCCTGTTATATCACCAACGTTTTTAATATAAACAAATATTTTTAATTAACGGAGCCTCTAAATTAGAAAACAACAAATACCTTTTTTCAATTTTGTAGTTTACACATTTCATTTTATACTTTCAGCACATAGCCTCTTATCAGCAATATTAGGTTATACGTTTGTTGCTAAGCAACATGATATAAAAGCCATTTTTGGAACGCATTGTTACCAAAATGCACTGTTTTTCTATATATTATAAGTTGTTATATAAGGAACCACTTCTTTTCTAAGAAGTTTTCGCTAGAATGTCTCATTTAATAGATGCGCACGACGCACGCGCGTGCGTGTCTGTCTGTGTGTAATTTGTATCTATAATTTGTAATATAAGGAACCACTTCTTTTCTGACTGGTGTTTCGCTAGCTTGCCTCATTAAAAAAAGATGCACACGCCCATGCGCACGTGCGTGTGTGTCTGTGATTTTTATTTGTGATATATGGAACCACTTCTTTTCTATGTGGTTTTTCGCTAACTTGCCTCATTAAAAAGATGCGCACGCACGTGCATAAGATAAGTAATAATACTCAGGTGCACAACCTCAGACTATGGATAGCGACATGAAATTTTGAGTCATATATGAATTGCGCGGGCATTTTATAAGGTTCTCACAATTTTTGGTGTTCTCGACTAAAGATCAAACGAAATAGACAGTTATTAAAATACTTTCGAGATGAATGTGCATGCGAATTTCACTTAGTAACTATATCCGTAAAAATATTTCTACCCTATTATACGCACCTATATCAGTTTTGTTATAAAATAGTAGAAAAATATCTTTCATAAAAGTATGCACTATTATATATGCGAATACTGAAAGAAATTCAACTGCACTTTAAAAATTAAGTTATTTTATTCATATCATAGTATTGTATTCACGCTTTTTTAAACAATGTGATTATATTGTTTGTTTGTTACGAATTTCGCGCAAAGCTACACGAAAGCTATCTGCGCTAACCGACCCTAATTCAGCACTGAAAGACTAAAGGGAAGGCAGCTAGTCATCACCAAGAGCTGGCGGTGGATGGTGATGACTAGCTACCTTCCCTTTAGTCTTTCAGTGCTTAATTAGGGTCGGTTAGCGCAGATAGCTCTCGTGTAGCTTTGCGTGAAATTAAAAACAATCAAGCTGAAAAAAGAAGTATTTATGTGTAAGTGATCTAACAAAGTTTGTTAAATTATTTCACTCACATTAGTGCAATACAGTTGATTATAGGACATGTTAATACAATTATAGTTTACTATATATGTATATGTAGGAAATCTAACTAAATTTTTTAAATAATGTCTCTCACATTAATGCCATATGATTGGCTGTGTAATAAAATTAATGCAGAGGCACTTCAATTTTTACATAAAAAAAAAGATAACACGACACTTAAAGTTTTCATTAATTATATTTCGCAAGTTCTTGAGTTTGGCGTGGTATGATATTTATCGAACTCAGATCGTGAATCCCTAGGTTTTTGGCTCTTAGTCCTTTGCAGAAAAAAAACGTGCTACATACTTTGGGGTTGTGGGTGCTCTACAAGAGTGACGGTCAAACCCCACTATTCGGCCAGACAAGAGTTACCGAAGAGTTCGCGGTAGGTGCTATTGGCAAACAAATAAAGAGTAAGTTATAAAAGTGCTTTAGAGATTTCAAATGAAATAACACCATACATAAAAAATAGTACTTGTAAAAGCACAGGTTAGTGTGAACTATTGTACTTTGCACGTGCCTCCGGCATAGAGAAGCGGGATAAAGTTGTATTTTTATTGACAAGTTGTTTTAGTTTTATCTCATTTCTGTTTTATTCTTATATGTCAATACACCAGAAATTTCAAATAGAATAACTACACAAGTTGATTACACAGAAAAGCATAATCTAAGAATGATCTTTACAAATTATCGGATTTATAATAACTTATGAGTGAAAGTAACGAATAATTTAATAATATGTCAACCACACAATATCTGCTCTATCCAATGCCAATGGCAGTGGGTGGTGATGACTAGCTGCCTTCCCTCTAGTCTTACACTGCTAAATTAGGGACGTCTAGCGCAGATAGCCCTCGTGTAGCTTTGCGCGAAATTAAAAACAAATAAACAATTATTAGTGAAATAATTCTAGTTTGCTTTTCTCTATTTTCTGTTCACTGTTATTTCAATTGCCCATCTATTTCCCCTCGATTATCTACATTCGTTCTTCATCTTACACGCCCTGAGTTAGTATTAGTTGCCAGGATATTTCTAAATTTACGTTTGTTTATTATTATAAAACATTTCTTTAATTACTAAGGCGCGGGTTGGCCCTGTGGTAGAGCTCTGGATTTCAGTAGGTTTTTAATTCGTGCGATACCTTAAAATATTCTCCGCACTTTAACCTGTAGGAGTGTTATAAAAGTGACAGTAAATCGCTTAGTGTAGATAGTAGAGTTCTGCCGACTGGCTGTTTTCCCTCTGGTCAATAGAAGAAAATTAGAGACAGCGGCCTTAATAGCTTTGCAATAAATTCTAATAAACATGATACAACCTTAGTGTGATGCGATGTTTGAGACCTCTATTAAGAAAGTTTCCATAAATCTGAGGATGTAGATTATGACAAGTGGGGCTAACGACAATTATATAGACATTTGAAGATATAAACAACATATATATACGTATATATATACTCAGGCTTAGTGCTACCCCTCATGATTATTCTTTGAGGAATTATAATAAGTCAGGTACATGTTATTTTTGGCACATATTTTTAAGTTTATTGCATTAGGCCTAATCGTGATCAATAGACCAGTTGGTGTAAGCAATTTTTAAAAATGTTTATCCTAATATCATTCTTCTTGCTTTCACTTTGAGGGACTGGTCTTCATAAAACGAATGCTAAGCTTGTCGAGGGATAAATTTGAGATATGGACCTTTAAAGAGATTTTTTGGTAATTTAAATTTTTATGAAGGATGTGATATCTTTGTTTTAATTTGTTCTTAGAAACTTCCGAATTTCCATGTAGTAACTTATGGTAAGCATTATTTTTTGAGTAAGTATTTTTCGAAAAGTATCTTTGTGACCAAACAAAATATGTGTACCTAGAAGCGAACCACAATTATATATATACTTAAAATCGTCAATTATTTCCGAACTTGACACTGAATGGGTCAAGCATAAATATCGAAAATCATCTGTTAATGCTTAACTTATTTCGCTTGATTTGTCAAAACAATCACTAGATTAAGATTCTTTCAGAACATACTTAAAAGTTAAGTGGATCCCAGTTAATATTACACCTGATTTACATTGGCACTCTACTAGTAACCAGAAAGGTTTGTTAAGGTGGAAATGGACTCTATTTTGGCATATATGAATAGGAGATAGTCCATATACTTTAGAAAAGAAAAAAGCTGATGATGACTTCTTAATGGTCACGAAACGTAGTATTGTGGTTGTGTGTGTTTCCTAGATTCCGTTTTTAGCAGTTTAAATTTTATTTTTGCATATAATGGACAGACATTGCACAATTTATCATAATTTTGGTTTGTTTGTTTGTTCAGTTTTCTGCTATTCTACTCGAGGGCTATCTGACCTGGCCATCCCTAATTTAAAAGCGATAGGTTAGAGGGAAGTCAGTTAGCCAACACCATCCTTCGCTAACTCTTAGGCTACTCTTTATCAATGAAATGCGGGCTTGACCATAACATTATAACA